TCATGGGAGAGTATTTTATTTTTGATAAGTAAAAATTACTTGAGTAAATCTCACAGCTAAATGGAGTTCTTAGTTGCCGCATTTTCATAAGTAACACATTAGCAAGTAGGGAAATCAGGAAAATCTCAAATAGCAACTCAGGAAAGCCGTAACGAATGCATTTGATTGCGAAGGAGTAAAAATCGATAGTTCAGGATAAGGTCATAGTTATTCTTATTCTTTTCATATCCTGGAAAAAGTATTTCCTACTGAAAAATAAAGCCTTCCCAAGAATAATACTACAGAATTGTCTCAATGCAACTTTGCACAGTAGAAAATAGAAAGTTTAAAGCATTTTGCAGGTGAAAGATGATTCATTGTATAGTTTATCAATGTTCAAATTTATAATATGGAGCACAAATATGATTGAAGAGAGCTCTTTATGTGGATCCATGCCAAGATATTGAACTTACAGAAGCTATAATAGGAGGTTGAATTATTTGCTTGAGCTTCAGTTTCTCATATAGAAAATTAAAGAACTCTTTAACCTGCAAGGAAAGTGATGAGCAGTCAAACACCAGTATAATCAAGATCATTAGCCAAACCCCATATTTAAAAGAATTCAAAATTATAGGTTCGTCAGCAAAGCATCACAAAACCAAGAGTTATAACAAGAGAAACTAATTCTGACACCACCGCAATAGTAAGCTTGACCCTAATGCCAAAGTTCTAACATTTTTTCCCTATCATATAAGGGATTACTATTTCTACTGATTGGCAACATTAAAACTATGGGTAAAGGGCCAAGGGAAAAATTAACGCATCTGTCTCACCTTTTCTTTCTTTGAACCACTTGAGTCAGCCGGTGCTACATCTGTTGTAAGTAATGGAACTTGCTCTGGTGAACTAGCTGTCAGATGGCTCTGCGAGCCATCTCTGTTAGGATTTTTGATAGGAAGATTTGCATCTTGAACGTCGAAAGTGCCTTCACGAGGAGGTTTGAGCATATTGAACACATAGGTGTAGAGAACAATTGCACCAACCTACACATATTTACCAAATAATACCATTACTCATCATGCATTTTAAAGTTTCATGTTTGATGCAAACTTCTATACTAGGTGCAGGGTTTCAATGCAAAAGCTGCGGTTTTATTTTTTAAGTCGGGGTGTGAGAGGGAGGGGTTTTTTAAAGAGAAAAACAAAATGGCAAAGAAATTTCCATTAGTTGGTTGCTTGGCAGTAAAATGGTCAACTTTCACGAGACATCCTTGCCTCGATCAGGGAGGAAATAAGGCAAAATTCAGAATTTAGAGTCAAGGAAATGCAAAAACAAGCAGTAGTGAAAAAACTTAGAAAGTGCCAAGAAAGACAAATTTCCAATAAAGGCATAGAAACCATCAATTCTGGGTTCATACATACCCACTGGCCAAATGAGATGTATGCATTTCCATCTCGCGAACATATCTCATAGTCACCAAAAGGATTTGATTTATCCCGACATAGTGCAGCTATCAGAACAAGTGGAACATTTCCAATATTCCCTGCGTAGAAATTAAAAGAGAATAATAAGCTAACAAATCAGGTCTTGAATTACACATGCCAAGACATTATATAGGATAGATAGTTACAAGCTGAAATGGAATATTTTCACTAAGTAGCAGTCAATTCCATACCACCAAAATAAAAAGAAATTAAAGATACAGGAAGTTGAGTCATTTAAAATATTCAAGAGACTACGAAAATAAGTGCTTGCTAACTATGAAACTAGCTTTAGATGGAGCACTTACCAATGCCTATTTGTACAACAGTAAACTTGAAATAAGGGTATGGTGGACGGACGATTGAAGCAACGATGCAACCTATAATAGAACCAGATATGGTGGCGATAACAATATTAACAGGGATGAACCACCTGATAAAATGAAGAAAACGTGAGTCGAAAATACTGTAGAATTGGGCATTGCATTACAAAATGACCACAAATATAATCCTTACCATTGAAGCAGTTTCTCATATGTGATGGCTTGTCCAAGTTGAGAGAATATCAAGCAGGGCAGTAAAAGTGAAAACACCAACTGCATCAAAACCATGTAATATTATCTATTAGAGATACAAAAAAGCTAAAACTTACCACTTTTACGATTATGGACTGCAGTAGGAATCAAAACAAGTGTCATCTCTCATATAACTTCATAACATCTATCGCAAAGATATTTGAGGACTCAATTGAGCTAGTCAAACTTCTCTATAACGACACTTCACTATAACGGCCAAATTTTCTTTGGAACTAATTTTCCATATCATGTTATAATATATGTTTTCGATAACGACACTTCACTATAGCAGCCAAAAAATATCCGGAACCAACTAGACTACTATAAAGAGGTTTGACTTTATTTCCACTTTCAAGAGTAAATATTCAGTTGAGCTAATTCCAAAAAAAGATTTAACGTAATGCTAGCATAAAAGAGTACTGACCCCGTTTAAGAGCTTCCGTCCATTAGCCGGAAGAATATTAACATACTTGGAGGCCATAAGAAATCCCAAGAAGCACATGGTAAAAACTTTTGCAATCGGTAAAACAGCAATCTTAATCGACCCGAGTAAAGACTCTCCTCCTCGTTGTGGTTCTGTTAGAACCTCCATAAGCAATCTTGGCACTCTATCCATCATTTCTATTCTACCTTATTAACTGCTTCCCTCAAAGACAAAACAATTTCCTGATCATCCAAAAAATCACTCCAAAAAAGCCGAAAATATTCCCTTTTCGGCCTTGAAGGTCCTGCTATTTTTTTCAAGAAACTATGCCAGATACAAAATAAACCCAAAATATTTGAGCTTTATCTAACTTCCAGTCCAAAAAACCAAGAAAGTTCAAATCATTGGCAGGTAGTGCTCAGTTGGTCCAACAGTTAAGCTCCCCTTCTGCAAAATTAAGTTTAAAAAAAGAGCTCCAATTATTATCAAATCCAAAATTCTATATAGTAGAAGGTAGTTGACAAAGCAACAAAATCCTACTAACAACTGCAACAATTCCAAAAGGTTACACATATGATGTGTGTGTTTGTGGGGGTATCACATAGTAGCGGACCCAGAATTTTGGGCAAGCGGGTTCAGTCGGAGAAGTCCATAACTAACATAAGCGGTATAAGCCGTATAAACGGGTTCAAAAATAATTTCTATACAAAATTTACCTTGCTTTAGCCATAATTTATACATATACACAGTATTATTTTTGGACGAAGCGGATTCAGTTGAACCCACTCCTCACCACTTGGGTCCGCCCCTGGTATCACAGGCTTAAAGGGGGTTTTCAGATTCAGAAAAAAAACCACCAAAAATTAAAACTTTAGACAAATTTGAGAAATCCCATAACATAAATTAAGATTTCAAGCGCCAAAAACAACTTTCCAACAATAAAAGATTCCTTTTTTTTTACAACAGGTACAAGAATATGGTAAGTTTTTAATCACAGAATTAAGAAACCTTCCAAAAAAAATAATTCAAAGCTTATGACAAAATGCAATCACACTTACACGTTAAGAATATGTGAATTATAAATCAACGTAATCAAATAAGAGCTTAGCAATTCAAACAGAATAAAAAGAATATAAAAACAGAGAAGTAGAAATCAAAAAAACAAACTACTAACCAATAAAAGGTCTCTCCACCCCACAAAGCTAATTAACGTTTCTTTGTATTTGGGTTTGTGTTTTGGTTTTTTATAAGCTAATGAAATAGAAGCCAAAGGGTAGAAGAAGAAGTATATTGCTCAGAATCCTAAAAGGTTTAAAAATGGGAGTTTGAGAAAAGAATTGCAATTTGTGTCATTTATACGTAAAAGAAGTATGACCCCACCAACCAACGTTGGCTTCTCCTCCGTTGGTTTCCTTTCCCATACAGAGTAAAAGCTATTTCACATGATCTTGGAAAGCTCCTCTTTCTTTGATTAATTGACATTTTTACCCCTACAAATATTTTTATGTACTATAGTGCCCCTATTTATTTGGACGTTTCTTCCGTACTCTAGTACTTTCAAAACCGGACACCTGGCTTCTATTTACAGGCTTTTTATCTTTCTTTTTTAGCTGCCAAATAACTTGTTTTTGTCTTTCCTTTTATATAGTACTCCCTTTCAATTTATGCCAAATTTGTTTGAAATATGTAGTTCTAATTATTTTCAAATTTAGAAAGAGATTTTTTTTTTGGAACAGACTAAAAAGGAAATAGGTTCACATAAATTGGAACGGAGGGATTACTTTTTTTCCCATAAAATGAGAGATGATATTCAAGTTAACCTTTTCTTCATTTTTTTTTAAAATAATTATGGTGTTCAAGTTAATTTGCACGCACTTTGATTAATTTTATGGGATATTTGCTATTTTTTACCAACATAAATATCGTTAAGTAACTTTATCAAATAAAATTTAGACGGATAAAATGACATAGTATTTTTGTTTCCATTGAGAAAAAAGTACTAAGATGAAGACTGTGAAAGGATGAGAGTCAATTCCAATAATACCACAAAAAAGATATTTTTTTCTTTTCAAAAAGAATAAACCTATTTAGTGGGGCACGAAATTTAAAAATGAATGAATTTTTTTTGAGCTTGTGATCTAAAATTATCCATAGATATTTGTGTGACTATAAATCATCTAATTAAGAATAAAATAAAAAGTTTAAAATTATATTCTTTTCAAATTAAAAAAAGGTCATCCGCTTTTAAACGGACTAAAAACGAAATATATATATATAGCCATAGCCACATAGAGTGAAGGGTGTTCAGTTGAATATCGTTCATCAAAAAATTATACTAAATATATAAGATATTATAATATGTATATACTTTTTTATAAAAATATATTAAACCTTAAACACAATTTGCAAAATTTGGCTCCGTCACTCGGTGGAGTATATTATTATACCAACAAGTGAGTTAGAATCCTGTTACACATGAGCTTATGTCACTCAACTATGATTCTTCGGCTAAAACAATTTGCAAATATCTGATCTGGTGATTACAGCTATTTTCTTCCGTCCATAATAAGTGATTAATTTATCTTTTTTATTGTGGTCCAAAAAAAATGTCTATTTATATAATCAAGAAAAAATTCAATTTATTTTTTCAAAATTACTCTTATGTACGTATCCCTAAAAAGTCATTTACTCCGAAGAGAAGTAAGTACTACTATAACTATGGTGCAATATTTAATGAAGGGTAGTTTAGTAACTAATTATTTTCATCTAGAATTTAGTATTTTCTTAATGAATATGCTAAAAATAAATTGGTCACTTATTGTGGATCGGAAGAAACAGTAAATAATTTTCTAGTTGTTCTTTCTTTCAAGCAACTTATAATTTCGCTTTTACATCTTAAATATGGAAGAGTATTTCCAAAAGACAGCTTATATTATTACGCGCAGTCAATAATTGAAAAGTGTTAAATCGATGAATAGTTGATTTTATCCTGAATTGACAGAAGCTCATGGCTTCTTTTCAATTAGTGGTGATTACACTGAAATATAGTGTTTGATTCGATTTTTAAGTTTTTTTTTTAATTCCTCTTACGGGTAATATACAGTAGTTGATGTGTCTTAAATATCAAAATAAATAATTGTTCTACGTAGAAATTAAGAAGAATTAAGAAGAGAGAGAAAGAGAGATTTATTCTGGATTCTTTTTTTGGGGGAGCGTTGATGTGTCTTTTTCTTTGTTTGATATTCCATTTCCTCCCCCTATTTTTTATATAGGCAATGTACAGATTTATTGCTTAATTAATTGAAGAAAAAGAGAGCTAGTACATAATATATTAATGATACTATAATTATGTAACGAGCGAAACATGGAGGCAACGTGGCAAGTTTCTGTTAGGCACATTTATTTGTACATTTTATTATGTATAAAAACTCAACATTTCAATCAGTAGTGGGTCAAAAGAAGAATAATGATGCCATAACAGAGATATTTCATATAGAGCGCATTTGGACATAAGAATTATAAAATTTCGAAAAAAGTAAAATAATATAAATATTTTAAATAAAAATAATATTTAAAAATTAGAGTTGTGTTTGAACGTATATATAAATTTGGGTTGTTTTGAATTTTTGTAAGTAATCTAAAGTGAACTTTTTAAAAAATAGTTTTTTAGAGTTTAAAATAAAAATAAAAAATTTCATGATCAAACAATGATTTCGAAAGAAAGGAATAGTTTTTCAAAAAAAGAATCTTTTTCTATGGCCAAAGGGGCCCATAGCTTGGAATAAGAGAAAATATGTGATAAGAAAAAAAAGGGAGAAATTAAAAAATAATCAAATTTACAGGTGGTCATTCAAAAATAGCCACAATTTTAAAAGTAATCGAAATTTAACCACTTTTCATGTAAAAATAAATCTTAACGAAAATACTGTTCAAAATCTAAAAAAATACTTCAGCATAATATACTGGAGCTCCAGTATAATATACCGGTCCAACATAATATACTGAAGTTTGGAGCACTAGTGCTCCAGTCTCCAGTATATTATACTGGAGCCAACAAAGTATATTGGTCCAGCATAATATGCTGGAAGTTCATACAGAAGTGCACCGAACTCCAGTATATTATGCTGGACCGGTCTCTGTTGCAGCAAAATAATGGTTATTTTTAATGACTTGGCAAACGCTGGCTATTTTTGAATGACCAGTCCGAAAACTGGCTAGACCGTGCTATTTTAACAAAAAAAAGATGCCTAAAAAGAGATACCATAAATAATAATAATAATAATAATAATAATAATAATAATAATAATAATAATAATAATAATAATAATAATAATAATAATCCTAAATTCTCTATTTAGGAATAGAACTATACTTCCTCCGGTCCATTTATTTGATATGTTTGTCAAAAATAATTATTCCAATATATATACTAATATTAATGAATTTCTTCAATTTTACTCTTCGCATTAAAGAAGTATATTTATTAGAGAATTTAATGTGCTGAAAGATCAAAGCATAAATTAATCCAATAACATTTATTATTAATATTATTTTATAAAGATGTGCAAATAAAAATATGACAAGTAACATAAAAGAAACTCATTTCATCAAGCCACTCCAGGTCTCTTCAACGATTTTTTGGTTTTATGATTTGGTGTGATTAATATATTCGAGAAAAAATCTACTTTTTACGTTTGTTTGTATAGAATTCATAGGATACTCTTTTTGTGATATTATGCTCTTAATAAAATATGACAAAATAATATTTATTACACTTGTACAAGAGAAGATTTGACATACAAATTTATCCCCACTTTAATTTGTCATATATAGACCAAATACAGAAACAGATCCAATGCTAGAACTAGTTTTGTCACTTCACACATTTAAACAAAAGAAATGTTAACATGCACAATTTATTTTTAAAAGAACTGTTAGAAAAATAAACAAAAACTAATTAATACCAATGCCAGAATTTCTCTTACATTAACAGCTTGTTTGGATGGTTGTTACATATCGTTTCATAATATATTGTACTATTGTATTGTCTTGTACTGTGTTGTTTGATGAATACAATGTTTGGATAAATTGTGCCGTTTGCCGTCATTTCATGATATCATGTACCAGCAATATGAAGAATAAACTTGCAATATTATAAAAAAAAAAGTATGATACGAGGTAAAATTACTATATAAAAAGATATGATAAATGATAAAATAAAATTATTGTTATTGAGATAAAGGACAACCGCACATCAAAAGGAAGAAAGAAAAAAAAGGGGGGACAAGCAAATTTGAGAAATTTCAATTTATCAATAATCAAGTCATAATTACAATAAAACCACCATTAACAAAGGGATTAGCTCATAAAATAAGAAAAGATTCTGCTCTTTTTGGGGACAATGACATAAACACATGTAATTAACGCTTAATTAACATAAAAGAGAAATATAATTAGTGTGTTATTGATATGCAGATCTGTTGGAATGTGATTGTGATTTGATATTTTTGTTTTTGGTTAAAGGGAAATTTTTATTAATAATAACACTAATATTACAGGTGATCTGTTATAACCTACTACTACTGCACTTCCTCCAACTCAATTTTATATATCTTGACTTTCCTTTTAATTATTCATTAAAAAGATTGTTAAATATTTATATTTTTGTATGGTTTTTTCTTTCGACAGAGAAATAAAGCAAAATAAAAAATAAAATAAAAGTAGTTCAAAATCAAGCGAGAGAACTAAACCCCAACAATGTCTCTGGCAACATGCAAAGAAATGCTAAGGCACAAGCGTCTGTCATTCAAATCGAAACTCTTGAGCAAATATCAAATATTTGAAGGGTACTTTTCATATTTTATTGCAGGTTTAGAGCCCGTTTGGCCTTTTTTTTTTTTTTTCGCAATTAATGTGGCCATAAAATTTTTAATTTTTATTTGAAAATGAATTTTTGAATTTTTCGATAATTTGAAAAATTCCAAAAAGCTGTTTTTCAAAATTTTCACTTTAGATCACTCACGAAAATTCAAAAACAACATAAATTGTATTCATCCATACACAACTCCAATTTTCAAAATACTATTTGTACTTGAATTTTTTTCCCACTTTTTTCCGGAGTTTACTTTTCTTATATCCAAACGCCCACTTAGTTTAACATTGCAAGATTTAATCAGCGTTTGTTCATAAAATTTCCAATTTTCATTTGAAGATGCATTTTGAAAATTCCGAAAATTTGAAAAACTTCAAAAAGTTGTTTTTCAAAATTTTCACTCAAATCACTCATAAAACTTCAAAAACAATCCAAAACTATATTCATGTCCGAACACAACTCTAAATTTCAAGTACCATTTTCACTTGAAATTTTTTTC